GACCAAGTTCACGACTAGAGCATATGCCCAGTGGGCTGGCAGGCCCACAGCACGATGCTGCGTCTCCAGTGGCTGAGTCCCACGAGCTGTCTGACTCCAGGACTCGGCACACACGCAGTAGGTAATCCAGTGGGTTTTACACGTCAAGAGAAGACAGCTTAGCACATTGTTCCCTTCCTGCTCTAACAAGAAATTTCTAACATCCTGGGCTAGATCAAACAAGCTTTAAAGTGATTGGAAATCCACTTTCTTTTTTTGCTTTGTTATCCTTTTAAAGAAAACTTGAATTGATTTCAGTCCTGGTTTAAGCAGGGAAACTGATGTCTCAAACTAGGCTTCAGGAATTGGTGAGAAACTGGAACTGTATGCCTTTATGTCAGACCTGAAAACAGCAATGCCCATTTGAATTCCACACAAGAATCTATTTTGTCACAGATTATGCAGCTTTAAGAGATACTGATGCTTAAAAATAGAATTTTCTTCTGATGATCTGTTATCCACATAGACATCAAGTCATCAGAAGCTGCTTGGGAGCCTTTAGATAGAGGAGTGACATTTATGCAACACAGCTGTAACATTCCCAGCTCTGTACAAAATAAGCATCTGTCCCTTCCTGCTTTTAAAGGAAGATCCCTTAATCATGTTTAATGCAATGCCTACATCCCCCTTAGTTCATTCTCTGGCTTTTCCAAAGCAAAGACTTGGCAAACTAATTTTCTTCTAGTTAAAAAAAGAAAGAGATAAAAATTAAAATGCTCTCGGTGTGTCACAAAATACCACCACCTAAACTGCTACACCTCTTCAAACTGGTTCCACTCTCAGTATAAACAGTGGTGATGGCAGCAGCAACTTAGTGCTTAAAATTAATTCTTGAGATCAGCTTAGCTGCAGCTCGAGGAGCCCTCTTGCAGCACTAGCAGTCTTACTTATCCACACACTGGAAGTGCATTATCATCCATTGCAGAACAAAAGAGTATCATCACTGGATTAAGAGTCACACACAATTAAACAAGACAAAACCAGAAGAAAAAAAAAAAATCCCTATTATGCTCCTGGGTCCCCAGGATGCTCCCTCACTCTGCCTTCCAGTTCTGAAATAAATCTGAGGACCACAGGAGAGAGTATGAGCACACGACTTAGCTTGAGTACTATCTCCAAACATATAAAGATATGACCTAGCAAGTGTCAGACTCCATCTCCCTGCTCCTTCGCCAACCATGCCTTCAGGGGGTCTCATTATGCACTGCACTTACTGAAGAATGGAAACCCCATAAAGCTAAAAAACCGCTCAACTGATGCCAGTCCCACGTACACTTTTGGCCACAGAATTTCCAACGTATGGTATGACCTGCTGATGAGTGAGCTGAACCAAAATGACCTTCTTGAGCTGGAGTGTGCCTAGATGTACCACTGTAGTAGTGGAACAAAACCCTTTTGCCTCTCCCTTGGGAGGTCAGAACCTCAGGATGCAATTCCTGTACGTTCCCCAGGATCAGAGCTAGCCCTATCAGTGCCCAAGGCGAGTCAACAAAGTATAGCGCAGCAGTCTGAAATGTAGTAAAAGAAAACAACCAAAAACCCCCAACCTCCCTGAAAACTTAACTAAGAAAGATGAGTTCACTTCTCAGAAAGGTAATTCATTCTGCTTTCCTTTCTCGGGGATACGGATCAAAACTTTGGCTGCAAGGAGAACTTGCATTGTAGGTCAAGATCAACACCACTCAGTTGATCTCCCAGAAGCTAATTATCACACCCCACTGACCAGGACCAGAGTCCACTTGATCCATCCTCTAGGAAGGATTAATTTTCAAGTTAAAACCAACTAGGGGGGTTTAGCTGATAAAAACCATAGCAGGGAAATTAGGAGACATTCAACAGTTATTCCAAAAAGAAATGAAGGTGTCCTGCTGTTCCCTGGAGAACACTGCAGTGCTAGGTCTAGAAGGTGCGTTGTTTACAGTGGATGCTTTCCCCATGAGCAGGCGGGATGTTATCGGAGTGTTACGGATAAAAGATGCATGCATAAAGCAGGCCTCTCGGAATGATGCCATGGAGCAGTCTATCCTAACATACCAACGACAACCATCAATCTTCCAAGAGAGGTGAGAGCTGTTGCTACAGGAGTCAGGACTAACAGCAGAGAGGAGACACTGCCCTCCCGTGGCCATCTCCTGAAGCACTCTAGGGAACAACCACACCCTTCCATTTCTGCTGAACACGCCTCATCTGTCAAATCTAAAACTTTAGGGATTATATCTAATATTTCAGCGATGTGGTTTATTTTGCCTCACATCAGCACAAGTTCTGTCTCCTCAGCTCAGTTCAGAGGCAGAGGAGTGAGCGTTACATTCTGGGAAAGAATCAAAGCCAAGTACTGTTCACCTGCAACCCCACAGCAAGAGTTTAAAGGCAGATTATTCTCACCAGCCCCTCTTGGTTTGTTCCCCATCTTTTTTCCAGCTCATGCCTTAGCCTGTTGGACCATGGAAACTCAAAAACTTGCACCAAGTCCAAAATCCAGTCTGCCCAGACAGATTTGTCCAATATCAGCTTTCAACAGAGTTTAAATTAGCAGCTGGATCCAGAAAGCCTGAGGAGCTATTGCAGTTCCTGGCTGGGTAATGCCTACGTAAAAGAATTTATCTTTCCCTGGCATTAGAACTTTGCCCTGAGGGAACCAATGACTACTGCCAAGTCACAAAGTGAATGAAAAACCTGCAGCAGTCTAGACAGACAACAATGGACAGTGGGACAGACACCAAAAGGTCAGTTGGAATGGGAAAACAATTGTTATAAGAAAAAATAAATAACTTTTTTTTCTTTTTAGAGTCGTGCATAATCACTCGATTTTTTTGATTTTTTTTTTTCTTTCTCTTTTTGTTTGGCCACATGCTACTAGAAGGACTCTCGGCACAAGTGAAAAGAAACAAGGTAGGGTTGGAATACCCAGAAAATGTGCTGAAGGAGTTGGGAAGGTAGGGGATGTTAAGCCACAGGATTACATACAAGAGAAACTGTCAAGAATCACAAAGAGAAAATGAGAGGTAACACTTTATCTATCAGAAAGTGAGTTAGGGAGAACAGATGAGAACATTACATGGACTCAGTACTTCAGCTGGCCCGTGCGTCTTCGAGCCAGTTTTGACCTGCACAAGAAAGAAGTAAAAAAAGTATTTGTTGAATTCTGGAAGTTTATTTCTCTTCCCTCCCCACAGTTTGTCCACCTTTTTTTCAAAATCCTTTCGTATAGTCCTAGTTTACTCCATATGTTTAGGAAGTAAAATGTATGAAAGGCTATAATAAGAATGACTTCTTACTCCTTGGCTGTGCTTCTTTAAAGGAAGATGGGATCTTTTAAGGACTGCACTGCTAAGAAGTTATTTGACAGTGTACAGTAATAGCTTAGTTTTTAAATTTTTTTTTTGTTTGTTGTTACTGAAGGGAAGAGCCACTCTAGCATAGTAAAACCTTTCCACCAAGCAGGGGACATCTGTGACCTGTGTTAAAGGGAAGGCTTCTAGAAAAGTTAAAAAAGGGAAGGAAATGAGAATTTTTGTTTAAACTCACAATCAAAACAACGAAAAGGCAGTCCAGACCCACCTGCACAGAGGCAGTAAGAAGCTTCATAAATTTGTAAAATAGCTACACAAGGAAACCATTTTGTGGCCTCCGAATGCAGTATTGCATGAAGCATACCACGCATGTTCACACTGGATACATCTGCTAAGAATGTCACAAGCCAGAGCAACATCACTGCATTTCCTGAAACACGGGGCTTGTGGTTCTTTTTTTTCTGTTGCTCACCCTCCTCCCTCCTCCAGTCCACCCATCATGTCAAATTCTTCAGAACAAGATGAAATTCTGTGACAAACTGTCTGCCTACTAGCTAATGACTATCTGTCTGTATGCTTTGCAGCACTGTCTGCCCAGCAACTGCCTCTTACCGTATTGTGCCAGCAAGAAGTGGATTGAAGGCATATAACCAGTCATTCATGTCTTTGTCATTGATGGCCTGGAGCAGGACCCCGCGATGCTTTGTGCACACACCAAATGTGTTGGGCATCTGGAATATGAAAGACAATTTAAAATACCGAAATCTACAAGCACAGAAGCTGATGCACACTTCCTCTCTGTGGAAGAGTTTGCTATGTCACATTCCTAAAAACCACAAGAGCTCCTAAGGTCTTTCATTTCAGTTTCACTAGTCATTTCCAGGATATTAGTAGTCAGCCAAATGGGACATCTTCTACAAAAATACAGTTTTAACTCATGAGGGTGCACTTTAAGAGCTGCTGAGATGGTCCAGTAAAGTTAATTTGATTCCTTGCAGGATGTTTGTGTGTGTTGTTTTGGTTTATTTTTTAACAAACAAACAAACCAACACAACCCCAAAACACCACACAAACAAAACTACAGAAACCAAACACACAGGGTCATGGTACCAACACACACTCATAAAAGCAAATACGACCCGTAACATCAGCTTCAGTCTCTTGTAGAGCTGTGTCCAAAACATAAGAAACCCTGAATAAACTGGGAACTTTGTGGGCAGAATCATCAGATGCCAGACATTTCTCCAACACACAGATGCATCTTCCTTGTACCAGAGATGACACACGGGATGGTAAGGATGCACCTGTAATGTTCCTGCTCTATGGGTAAATAAACAATAGCTCTCAAACTGACCTTTACCATTGCCTGTTGATCCTCACTGTATTCCACCTGAGCTGTGGATAAGTTTATGATTCCTCTTTCTACAGGATCTTTGTCACTGTTGTAAATAAAAACATAGGGACGGCGAACCACCACAAAGTGCTTGGCCCAGGAGCTGGACAGTGGCTCCTTGAAGTGGAGGTATCCTTTCTTGGAGACCACAGAGCTGGCAAAAAACCAAACCAAAACAAACCCACAGATGAACAGGAATGCTTTCTCCCCTAAATAAGGCACCTACTGAGTATCTCTATTAACTGCAAGACACTGCATAACACACTCAGTCCTTAATATGTTTTATCTGCAACGGTATTATGAAAAAATTCTTCTACGGCAAGCTGAAATTTGTCTTCAAGAACTATGTAAAGGTCCGACAGAAAGAAGGACCCACAAAGATCTCCACTTCAGTGAATTTCATGGTTTTGATGGTAACAGACATCATATTTAAGTCACTAGAAACCCTGCTCATTAAGCAGATGCAGGGAATGAATGCTGCAGAGATCAAGTATCAACACAACTCTCCAGCTGTGCAGAACTCTGCAGTTCTGCTATCACCTGTTTAATTTACAATACTCAAATGAGGCAAAGAAAGTACAAATCTCAGAAGGCCCTTGTGACGGCTCTTAGGAAGCCGTGATCACACAAGAATACAAAACTTACCCTGGTCTAATTTCCTCAATATCAGGAACAAGGTTTAGGAATTCATTCTTTCCAGCTCTGGCAAGATAGGAGGTTTCTACTGCAGGAATTAGCTGGAACTGTTCCACCTCATGACAGGGACTGGAGGCACGAGAATTTGCTTCTGGTGTCCTTTAAAAAAAAAGCAGAGAAAGAAAAGTAAATCACAACAAACCAACTAAACAGGACAACAGAATTTAAAGTGCATCTACAGCCTAGCCTGTCTTACAAGTTCCATTCTCCAATCCAGATTTTTTGTATGACAATGGATCCTTTTGTACAATATCAAATAGCACTTCCCTTGAAATCTGTGGAATAAAACTTAAAATAACTGCTAGTAAGTTGCTTCCCCACTACTTCTGTCCCGTTTCTTTTGCCAAACAGAGTCACAACACAGCCATGTCTTACTACAGTTTGATGTAAAATCTACCACTTCATCAGCACTCCTCCTTTCAGGGCTGTTAAAGTGAGAAGGTACATATTACATATCTTTCACGAAGTAGTTATTCCCAATTTCATAAAAAATATCTTCTGTAGACACAGCTGAGAAAGATAAACAGAAATTACTGGCCAAACCGGTTTATTCTGGGTTGTTGTCAGTAGGTCTTTTTAACAGACCTTTGAAAAAAACTTGTGGACTCTGCGCACCGAAGATTTACTGGTCACTGGAATGACAAGCATCTGCCTGTTCTTTCAGAACAAAGGACAAAAAAACACAAGAACTTGGGAAAACAAACACTTCAGGAGAACACAACAGTGAAAGATAATTGTGTAGAGTGACTGAAGAAGATAAAGCAAGGGGGCTGTACAGAGAAATACCTGAAAGTAGGGAAAAGGAAGACAGCGGGGGGTGGGAAATCACAGAGCATAGCAAAGATGGATTTGTGAAGCACTGAGAAGTAATGTTTTCCTATTAATACCCTAGACTTACTTCTGATCAATTGAATTGCATCTTGAATCCACCAGAGAAGGGCAGGTAGATGAAGGTGTGAGGGTGGCACTGCTGAAACTCGACACTGATGGGTCCCGCCCAATTGGAGAAATATCCGACAACTACAGGGACAAATACAGGCAAAATATTACAGGAGTTGTTTTTGTAGCTACTGTTCAGTCCTGGCTAGAACATGGCGTTCCGCATGCAGAAGGCTCAGATGACAGAAAGGTACTTCTATCAGCCATTCCCCTACTCAGTAGTCAAGTTTTTGCACACAACCAATCATAAACCCACTGGGGATGAAAATACAATGGCACTTCTGTAGCAACAGCTTGTTAATAATGTCCTACCATGCCGATTATTCACACCCTGACTTCCTCAACAGAATACCAGACTATCCAGTTCTCAACTTGGTGTCCCCTGTGTCTACAGTTAGAATTTTTAAAAGAGCCCATTTATCCTTTTACATAGGGAAAGTGTATGTAAGGAAAGATAAGAGCACTTCCAGCCTGCTGATCAACTAGAAGCTACACTATAGTCCAAGTTCACACTATTTCTAATTCCTGCAATCATCTTTGGAACTTGATGCTGAAGAGCCAAATGCTTCCAACAGACTGAAAATAAAGAAAATGAATATGAAGTGTTCTCTTCATAGTATCAACAGATTCCACAAACTACAAATATATTGTTATTGTACTACAAATATAGTGTATTGTACTACATAAAATATTTACCTTACAATCACTGATGCTGTTGTACACCTGGTTAAATTCCTGATTGAAAGTGTGAGTAAGAAGCTGCAGACACTAAAGCAGGAGGGAAAACAAACAAAACACAGAAAAGAATTCTACATTTAGATTTTCAGAGAAATTTGAACACAAGAGGCCATTTGCCAAGCCACACTTGGCAGCTCATGAAAGAAAAACAAATTCTAACCTGCTGTGAAAAATCCCAGAAGAGGGGAATAATTACTTCCCTTGATAAAATTAGGAAGTTTCATTTACAGAACTACTAACGAAGGGGAATGAGGCACAGCCATAGCACAAGCCTAGCCACCAGCACTGGCTGGTGAAAATGGATTATTTCACTATAGAGCATATTAAAATGAAACTCACACAATACTGGATATTCACCATGCTGTCTGAGAAGCTCACCATTAATCTTTAATCATCTTTGGCATCTCAACCTAGCCCCATGATGCTTTTCTCATGTTATACCTTGGTGGCCAGCTCTTTCTCCCGATCCACCAGGCTCTCTATATCTGCTGAGTCATAGCCGCTGCTCTCGCTGGGCGTCACGGCACTCTCAAACGTTGTAGTCGAAATTTGTGAGGAAATGCTGGTGGAGGTACTGAGAGTTCCACTGCTCAGACTGGGAGACAATGAGTCACTCAGGGACTTGGGGATGCTGTCACCAAGCTTTTCACGAAGCAAAAGGAAATGTCGGGTTTTTTCCACCTAGTGAAAAAAGAAATCAGTATCGTCTGCTCCAGGATGTTGCCTATTCTACAGGCACTGAATTCTCATGCATTCTTTTAGGACTCGTACCAGTAAACATTTTGCCCATGAAGGGGAGTTTACAATCGCACTAGAAGTTGAATCTGCCTTTGTTGAATACACTGAGATTCTGAGCTGAAGATTCTACTCAGAAGCCCAGCCACACATGTTCTATCTTCTCTGTTGGAAACTGTATTTAAATCTTGACTTTGAGAACAAACTCCCATTTGGGAACCTGTTCAGCTCAGAAGGTCTCACAGTGGGTAGACTAAAGGCAAACTCAAAGGTATAGTTCTGCTTCTTCTTTCACCTCCCCTATCTCTTTACTCACTTCATGCAACAGCTCCAGTTTCTCCAATTCCCACTGATGCTCTAGAATGAGGCTGTCACCCCTGGGCCTCCAACCTGCCAGGTTCTCTTCTCCTCGCACATATGCCACAGATGTATCCAGGACTTTCCTCCTCCGCCTCTGCATTCCTGAGCAGTTAAAAACAACATGAGACATGTTAAAACATAGCCAGAGGGATGCCACTGAGACCCACTTACCAAATAGCAATCTGCGAAGAACCAACACTTCTGCTGTTTGGCTGGAAATACACAAGGCAATTATCTTGTTAACAGGAATCACACATCCCAAAGAGATTTGATTCAGTCTAGCTTTCTTACTTCATTCAGATATTTTCTATTGACTCCCACCATTTTCTATTGCAAACTCCTGTTCAGGTTAATTCAACACAAGAACTTCAATTGGCAGATCTTAGAGGAAAAAATATACTGATACTACATGAAATACATCCTTCCAAGTTATCAAGTTTGCAATATCTTCAAAAGACCAAGAGAAAACTCTATTGCTGCAAAACCAAGTCTCAACTGTGTTAGCTATGTCCCATGTATTATGCCCCCTAAGTCTATGACCCAGGTACATGCCCGGTTTCCTGATATACCCATGTCAGAAAATGTAAAGTTTTCAGCGAATCCTTGGTTCACCACTGGTAAACACAGACCCAAGTGAAAGGTAAAAGCCTGCATAAGCTTTTTATGGAATAGCAATGTTCCATTGATCCTATGAAACACAGGAACTGCTGCCCATCAGGACAGAAGTGTTTGCTCTGTTCTGCCTATGAAATTTTCTGCAGTATTTCAGTTTACAGCATCTTTATTGCTTGAATAAATCTTTCACTGCTTACCTGGACTTCCTGTGTCTGCCATTTTGCATAAACTTAGTTCATAGATCCCGGTTACTCGATTGCTGTTCACAAGAAAACAGAGGGGAAAAAAAAACCCTATTATCTTCAGAAATAAAGTGCATTAGTTTTCGTTAAGTGGTTCCCCAAATTAGAAGTTTATTTGTGAGTTAGAACTACATCTGAATTCTAATCTTGACATAAAACAGCCAGGACAGACTGATAGATCTCTAAAAACAGCATTTCCCCCCTGCTCCTCCCACCCCCCATTAGATTCTGAGAGCAGCTGCTGCAGTAAATTCCAGGTCAGGATCAGCATCATCTATGTGCAAGCTTGAAAAATGGATCTCTCTTCCCAACTGATCAGTCAGAAGGCTGGAAAGGGGTCAGAAAAGAGAAAAGCCACCAGAGTTTCACTGAAATAAATGCAAGAAAGAATGTTCAAAACCAGAACGGAGAATTATAACCAGGCAGACTTTCAAGGAAGAAATAAAGAAAACTAAGCTACATTCTCCTCATGCCCTCTAAGAGAAAAAGCGTATGCCGACATGAAACTGATACCAAAATTGGTAACTGAACTTACGAATCTGGAGATTTGGAGTAACCACTGCCAAAGAGATTGCGTAGTGATCGTGGGGGGGAGATCTTGGCATCTCGTGAGTAAAATACCATACAAACATCCTTTGTTATAACTGCAGGCTGGATACAGTGGTCAAGCTAAAAGAAAAAACAGTAATGAATGAGTGGCTGCAGACAACTGTGCCAAATTATACTGCCTCCCTCTTTTGCTGGGACAGCTTTTTGAAATTTGTTCTTGTTTGGGTCTTTGGTGAAGGGTTTTCATATGTGTTTCTGTGAAAGAGAACTGTCAAGTTTCTTGATTCATCTTGTGGGTGAAATAATTGTACTACACAAAACATCAGTGTCTTGCACACAAAGCTGAGACCTAGGCCAGTGTTCGTAGCACTAGTGGTACTTACCTAGTAACACTGACTGCTTTCAATGAATTTTCAGATACAAAGGCAGATAAAACAAGGCATAGAAAGGTAAGGAGATCACCAGTTTTAATGCACATTCGTTGTGAGGCAGTAATACCTTCACATCAAGATACTATCTGAATAAATTTTTCCACCCTATTCTCAGAAAATTAATAAAGACTCTCACTGGCTTCAGGATTCAAAATCACTTAGTTCAGTAAGTATTTATCTCAGGTACACATTGTCTGCCTGTCTCAAACAGTTATTCTTAAGTCACAAGGAAAAAGGAAGGCACAGGTGTCTAACCTCCAGGTAAGCAGAAAGGGTCATATAAATCTTCTCTCCGTATGGTGTCACTCGATTGAGGAGAAGGGAGTTATGCAAGGAGCTATCCCAAACTGCTTCAAACCGATAGAAAGTCCTGGAAAAAAAAATACAGGAAAAGCTCAATAGTAAGAGTTCCTCCGCATCCCTCTCATCGGTCAGTGGAAAGCATCTCTTCCTTGACATCATCCACTATGACTCTCAGGGCTTAGATAACAAATGCTTGAAGCAAAGACCTTCTCTTCTCTCCCAAGATTACTTACTTCTACCTCAAATGGTGTGGCATAAGAGAACATTGCCTGTTCTAAGAGAGACTCATCTAAAAGAGAAAAGAGGGAATACAGAAAAGGACAAAAGCTGTCATGACACTACAGTAAGTCAACACTAAAGAACAGTGTTTCTGAACAGACAGAACTCCTCTCTGTTGCTGCAGGTGCAATTCAGCCCAGCTGGACCTCCAAAGTGCATATGACGATTTTTTTTTGTTAGCAACACTCATTCTACACCATATTTTAGGACTAACATACAGCAACAGAAAAGATCCCACTAATGCTTAGTTTTATAAAACCAGCAGTTTCTGACAGCAAATCAGAATGATGGATAGGTAGGAATAAATCCTATATTCACGTGATAAAAGATTTCTTTCCATGTCCCCACTGACTTCAAGTAAAAACTTGCAGATCTAATACAAACTTTTATAAGAAGTTTCTTCAGTTTGGTACATGGAAAGAAAGGAGCTGAAGGCTCCCGCAGTTCTGCCCCAGCAATCAGGAAGGTTCATCTGTTCAACTGAGAAGTGAGAGACAGCATCATCCACAGGACAGCTAAACCACCAGGTCTAGAGTCACCACTACACTCCCTTCTCTCTAACAGGGGCTTAGGGAAACAAGCTTTCTCCTTCCTCACAGATAGAGCCTGATTTCCTGCAGGTTCCTTTGGAAAGAAGCCCTATACCCTTATTCATGAATACAGCACACTTTGCAGTTTCTATACTAGTAACAGAAAAAGGTTTGAATTCTTCACCACCTCGATATAATTTCCCTCCCAAATCCCCTTGCTGTTGAGGTTTTCCATGCTGCTTTGAGTCCAAATGATGTGGTACTAAAAGCAGGAAAGTGCTTTATATATATTATTTTTTTAAAACAAGTTATATCTCTAAAAAGCTTCTGTACTAATGCCCAAGACCAACTCACAAAAATACAAAATGAAACCAAAGACAAATGAGAAAAAGCAAGGTGCAGGTAGAAGGAAGAAGTAACAGAAAACAAAACCAAAAAAAGAAACATGAAACAGCCTAAAAGCAGACATATAAGAAACGGAGAGTTCTGATCTCAGAGTTCCCAAGAATCCCCTTTCCCTGATACCAATTACACAATTCCAAGCTCATATAGTGAGACCGCAGGAACTGTGCCGTTGTGTTTGCATCTGAAGTAGCACACATTGGCCAAACATGACTTCTCATCACAGAGAGAGCATACAGGTGTAAATGTTCATCAGAGCAGAACCAAACATCCTTCTTTAACAAAGTGACAGATTTTGCATGAACACCAAGTTGAAGTAAAGCATAGCTTCGAGACAGTTACTCTACCCGGATTTTGTCTAGCCAGGAAGTTAAATATACAGAGCCTTGCCTGTCCAAACCAGAACTTGCTAGAATAGTTACAGAGGGAGACAAAAAACAGAAGCGAGCAAACTTCTTTCAGCGTAGCCAACAGTGCAAGGAGGACAACGGAGCACAGAACACACAAAGCACGGAAAACAGGAGAAACAGGTTAAAGACACCAATGCATAGCTAGAACTGATTTTGAAGTGGATTTTAGCATTAGTGAAAGGTGGTGAATTGAGAGCATTGAAGGCTTAAAGTCTTCTCTTTTTCAAAAATGCAGAACGCAGAGTGCAAACTGTCCCAGATTGTGCAGCCAGCATGCGTGGCTGTGATCCAATGGGGAAGGTGCAAGAGGAATCCAGTCTGAGCAGCTACGTGTCTCACTTCTCTGCCAACTGGTAAACTAAGAAGTAGCAACCACATGGTTAAATTTCAGATGCAAATCCAACCTAAGAACAGAGGTTGAATGCCAGTCACTGAACAAAAAGCAGTGGCTGCCCTGTGCAATTCTGAGCTGGAATTTCAAGTAGCCTAATCATTCAGTCCTTGACTTGGTACTCCAAACATGACAAGCATTACAGTCAGAAACAGTAAGAAAATCCAAATTTAGTTCTTCGATACAGAACAAAGGAAGAAAATAGCAAGGACTACAAATAGGGACTATATTCTGATGGGATGTTTTGAGAACCGGAAAGACTGAACAAAGGAAGCTACCTCTTACATGTGAAGGAAAGTTTACCCTCACGAGTCTCCCACTGAACTGTACCTGAATAAACCCCTGATACCAAGGAGGAGGAGGTGTACTACTTCTGGAAGAGCTAAGAGGCATACTACCAGAATTCAGTGAAAGCTAAAAGGGTAGGGGCAGCAATACAAACGGGACATAAAGCATTCTGTTTCCAAGAATCTTTATGTGCAAAGGAAGCAAACAGAAAATACCTAGGCATATCCTTATCAAGAAAGAGCCTGTAAAACATAGAAAGAGCTTCAGTTAGTGCAGCCAAAAGCAGAACAGAAAAGCAACAGCTCAGAGGAACAGAACAAGTGGAATTAAAAAAAACCAACCACAACACACCAAGCAGAAAACAAGTCTGCAGACAACAAGCGAACATAAGACGTATCCCTTACCAGGGCTTCAGTTCCACTCCATCACCCTGCCACACACTCATCCCACAACACAAGCCTTGGCATTTTGGTACGAGATTCACTTCACTCGCACTCATCCTTCACCCAAGCAGCCTACCTAATGGAATACTACAGAGCTATACAGGAACTTCTTGAAATTGCCAGAGAACAAAAAGCGTAGGGCTTTCCAACTGCAAATCCAATAGTATCAGACTGGAAACTAGCAGCAGGCCCCTTATGTTCCAGTTATACTGATCCATTAATATAAATACACTGAAAGTAAAATACCCACTTCTCAGAGGGAGGCAGAGAACACCTGCTCAAAAACCCCACCGCTGCCTGCATTTACAGACACTAGGTGGCAGGAAGACATTCAGTAGGCAAGAACAATGTCCTCAATCCACCTTTAACGTTGCAGTGGTATTTCAAACTCCAAGCCTCTAATGGAGAAGGAAGAAGCCATTTCAGCGCCTAGAAGGATATTGCCTCCAGCATTCAGCAGCTGCAGCAGAGAAGGGCTCCAAAACAACCCCCTCTCCTCCAGAAACACTGATTCAGAGTTAAATTTCAGAGATATTCCTGCTTTGCACCAGCTAAACAGAGCCACAGAGCAATCAACTGACTTGGCTGATGTCAGAGCAGGGAGAGGCTGTGCCGGCAATGCAGCATTCTGCTTCACTGCCCTTTGTTGCAGACACTGAAGCAAAACAACGTGGAGTCTGACTGATCTTACAGCAATGCACCCTAATGAGGGGACACACACAGCCACAAACCTCTCAGACAGGGGCCCTGCTTTGCCCAAATGACTGCAGTTACATGGAAGAGACACCCCCTTATTAGAACTGGAGTCAATTTGTGATACATCTGTATAACTCCACAAATTATGACATTTAATTTAAAAGCATGTCTCTTGTTTAAATTGTCACATGCTTGTTGCAGGAATAATATAGGTATGTATACATCCATAAATATATCCCCTGAGACTGCCCTTGTACGTCAATGTATTCTAGCAACAAACCTTGACGGCAGTTTAAAAACTCTCTGTTAAATTCTGAGACACCCTTAAGCTGTTCCTTTCCATCCTCCCTTTATGGTGCTTACAAAAGGAACGTAATTCAAATGCATTGTCCAGAAATCCTCTGTGTGGAGCAATGACCTTCAGCTTTAGCAGGAATTTATGGTAACGCTCATTATCTATCTGTATGCCCTCTGCCCATGAAATTCTACATTTAATAATTAGCAACATTCCCAGCTTTCCAAACATCCTGGCAATACCTCAGAGGTCAAAGGAATTCTAGACTTCTCTTAGAGTGCTCACTTTATTCACTTACCTATTGGAGCTGTGAGAGGACTTCAGGTATTTTGCAGAAATAATATTCAGAGACAAAATAGCATCCACAGCAGCTTCATCTACCTCTGCTTTATTTCTTATACGTCCTGAAAAGGGGAGGAGGAGGAATCAATTAAAATAAAACCTGAAACACAGAAGGAATCTGTTTTCCCAAATATGATTTCAGACTATGTGATTAACAAGCAGCTGTAAGTGAAAGTTGCAAAAAACTTAAGTTTTTCCTCTGGATCTTTTTCAAAATCCTCCTCTCGCAGCCAATACTCATAAAGATGACAATCTGATACAAAGAGAAATTACCAATAGTACTTTTTCTTCCTTACATAGAAACATACAAAACAATCCACTCACCAACAACCAGCTCTCGCACATCTTTCCAGTGCAACTCACTGCCCTTCTCATGGATAATGGTGACTGTGATTCTACGCTGGATGCCCTGGTAGAGTTCAAAAACAAAACACTGGTGAAGAATTCCCAAACACACACATGTTACCATCATCCGTTTTGAACTTATGCTGCAAAAATGGAGCAAATAAGATAATTTAAGTTAGTCTGCAACTGTGAACAAACACCTATGTGTTTCAGGGCCCTAAAATTAACTTAAGAGGAATGTTATATTCTCAGATGCAACAGAAATTATACTCCTCCCTCCTCATTCCACAAAGGCAGAGGTTTTTTAATCTAAAATAGTTCTGAAATTGTTGCTACACTCTCAAAGAGGATATGTACGATCCCTGGGATATATCAGAGTTGATCACAATACTTGGCTAATGTGTGCTTATATACTTAAAGTGTATACACCAAAACAGAAAGTCTATATACCAAAACAAGTTACTAGAAAATAGCAGTAACTCATACTGATATTCTCTTCCTTTGTCACATGTACCTGTTACAAGTCAAAATATGGTAAGACTCTGTAATAGCTGTGAGGAAGGTGAAATTGTGGAATAGAGATAAACACCACATCTGAAAAAGAAAAATTCCCCAGGTGTTGGTTGCAACAGATTCCAGTGTTCCAAATGTACCGTACAGCTATCCAGGGAGAACGTGCTTTGTGTGTAACCGTTTCAAAAGAAGTTGAAAGACGTTTGCCTATATTGTGGATTTGGCAATAGAATTACAAAGGCTAGAATTACTCTCGTTTGAAATGGAAATAACTGATGAGGACTCTAGTAAATCCAGAGCTGAGTAACACTTTTTCTTTTTAAGGAAATTATTGGAATACGACCATTATTCCTAAGCTATAAGAACTGTCCCTATCATTTTAAGAAAGGGAGGAAATGGAAATCACAGGTAAACTCTGCGAAAAGGAAAGGAGAATTTGAAAGCAAATCACAGGTAAACTCTGCGAAAAGGAAAAGATAATTTGAAAGTAGAAAAAATATAAACCCATAAACAATATTTGACTAGGATTATCTTTAGAATCTAGCTAAAGACAAATTATTATTAAGGATTATTACAGGCATTTAAAATGCACCGAGACATGGTCATTGTGTAAATCTGTCTCATAGCCACATGGAGGGAGAAAAAAAACAATGAAAGATGAGTCCACACGATCCTTCTGTGTCCTTGGCAGAGATGGAGAGAACACCGAAGGCACAAACTTGGTCCCAAAGGTTCCCGTTTTTTTAAAAGGCTTTAATCTTTCATGAGTGGGATGCACGCTGACGAGCAAAGGAAACAGCAATATACTGGGGGCCAGACTTATTCTCCTCATAGCCCAGAGCTAACAGACTAAGTACAGACTGAGAGATGACTGACCCTACAGCTATCATTAGAAGCTGTGTGGGAAAGAAGACATGAAAGACGCAAAATCCCATCATTAGCATTCTAGCTGCTCCCCCAAAGATGAAACTTGCTGTTCTACAGCCTTCATTAGTACCTGGTGAAGCAGGAATGTCCCCTGGCAGGGCAGGCCTCCCGTGTGGTCCACAATCGCAGGAATATACCTGTGTGAGACAGGGGAATCAACAGCCGGGAAAGACACACTAGCACAGCAATGCTCTGTACTCTGCTGCCAACAGTTACCTCTCCATGTAATAGCTGAAGAAATAAGAGTTTCTACTGGCTCTCAGGCTGGACTCTTTATCATATCACAGTATCAGTGAAATACAGAAGTATCATACTGTACTTCCAGTGCTTCTGGAAAACTCTGTGGAACTTGCTTCTCAATATAATCCCTAAAGACCTGTCAGGGGAAAACCTATTCTGCAGCAGAGATGAACATAAAACACAGCCTGCTAGATGACTTCTGGAGCATAAAGTCTCTAGTGACCCAAAGAATCTAAACTCATGGCCTACATCGGATAAGCTTCCCCACCACCTGCTCAGCTGGTGTGCACGGGCTTTTGAAGTGGAAAGATTACTTCAAGTATGAAAGAATGTCATTCTGTCTCTTCAGTCCTTTCCAAAGGGGACAATGCTGCCGCAGAATTTGCACCCAATCACTACAAACCAGAACCCAGGCTGACACATGCCAGGCCACCACCCAATAATGACAGCTAAACATCAGCCTTGTCTGAACAGAACAAAGGGTAAAAGATCAAACTCCCATAAATGTAAAATATTCCAAAACACAAAGGGTTAATACTGGACTTACTCCCCCGTTGGCTCCAATTCGCTGATCTCAAACCACACAAGGAGATCGTATTTGCTCACACTCTGGCCCAAGCTGGTTTTGCTCATAGTATTTAGCTTTGTAGCTGGCACTTAAAGAAAAAAATATGAAAGAAGAAGAAGGGAAAAAAAAAAAAAAAAGAATGGTTTACAAAGACTGAACAAGTAAAGTTTACCCTAGGGCTCACAGACACATGCCATTTCAGTCATCCTACACATTCTATGTACATATGCAAACCCCATCTTTTTCCATGAAACTAATCTTGCTCACAAAGTGTTGTTTTTTAAATCTAAGTTATTTATATTTTTTAAAAAGTTAAATAAGGAAACAAAAGTGTATCCAAAAACCTTGTAAAAATATGCAGTCTCTCTAGATCTAAAGAAAAAGTTTTCTCAAAAGGTACATCAGTTACTTTATAGCTTAACACTTCGTGATTTAGAATTGCTGAAGTCAGTTCATCTGCAACATTACTCACCCATAAAGTACATTTCCCCTTCCCCACACAAGAAAAAAAAAATAAATCAAGAACTTAAAACTTTTGTCTTCACTTTGTCAGAAACTAATTCCCCATGCACTGGAAGGGCATAACAGTCCCTGGTTAAGAAAAAGTCCTTCTAAGTGTGCCTCAGTAGTCTCTTTTTGAAAAACAAAATGTGAATTCTGTTTATTTTCGGGGTAAAATAGCAGCTACCTCAGAAGGGCAGATTTTACAAGAATCAGTTATTTACAGCACTACAACTCCATCATGCTAGGCAGCAAGCGTGTCATCATTTACTCTTCCATTCATAACTCAGGGCAGTCACTCTTACACCCATTGTATCATGTAGCTGCTCTGCACATGAACTCATCACAGCTGGACTCAACGCTGTTGACAGCAAGAGGAACATCAAATACACGAGTCACTCAAGTTTACCGCTAAGCAGAAAAACTCAAAAGCACCGGAAGAGAAAAACAGCATACAGACACATTGAACTAAATGTGAAAGCCAGTTCTAGAAGTTCTCATGGACTTGCTCTGGAGCAATTAATAACCAGTGTGTCTTTTTTTTTTTAATAAAACAGAATACAAATGTAAGGAAGGAACAGCACTGTTAGTGGCAAAGAAGAATATGAGTAAAAAGGAAACCCATATAGATCACAGCAGAACGTTTCCTCTACAACTAGCTGTTTTTTCATACGCAGCATCTCTTATTCCACTATCACAAAGCTATGTACAGAACACCATTTATAAAAAAATAAAAATCAGCGGTCCAGGAAGTTTCAAGGAATAGATCCACTGACACAGAAAAATCTGTGATACCAAGCACACTGGAGTTTATAGACTCTATACGCTTTTCCCTAGAACAGCCTTCAACTTAAGCACAGCATCATCCTCCCATGGCTGCACCCACAGCAGTTTCTAGGATACTACATGATAAAGATAAGGAAAAAGGAATTCTGAAGCACGTTTTGGAACTACTTCTACATCTACCATAGATCAAGTTTGGCTACTAACCATCTCGTTTAGGAGCCCGCTCACTCTGACAACTGGGAACAGGCAGAAAGAGAAAAGGTGGCAGCTGGTCAGCTCCATCCTGGAAAGCAGCCACAGCAGAGGACGCAAGCACGTTGGCATGCTCAGAGAGCGTGTTCAGCACATGCACGTTTACATAGCCAGACATAAGGTACCTAATCAACTCAATTTTTCTCTCATGGTCTGCAAAGGGAATGGAACACACACAAAAAAAGGATGGTAGAAACATGCAGGTGAGAGAAAGCTGGAGAAGGAGGAAATTAAAAGGTGAAATGGAAAAAAACCCCACAGAAGAGTTCAGCATACGTTATTACAATTAAGCAAAGAAAACCAAACATCATTCAACAAGACTAACTCACTAAACAAGAACGTTAGAGAGCAAAAAGATGAAGTGGTTAATGAATAAGCAAATTTCCAGTCAAGTGCTCAGTAAGCACATCAAGAGCCACAGCCAGATCTCACGGAAGATGGTCAACACCTCAGGAATGAAATTCTACCCTTTAACGAACCAAGAAGCACTTCTTGCAAGAGGAGGTTGAAAAGATCACATAAAAAGGAAGACAGCCAGCAAAGACAGATCCAATGCCCTTTGCAGCATTCACTCCATACATGTCTTGGTGTCCTCAATAGCTCAGGAATACCCTGTAACCTTCATTTTCAGTGACAGAGGTGATGTACAGGATTAGAGAACTGTTCTCACCTGGCTTTGAGAGTGGCATAGGGGGAGGAAAGAATCTTCGGGAAGGTTGTGGAGGACTGTAGAGAAATGAAACGTTATCAATATAGAGGCAGATAAACATGAAAAATATATACAAACACACACACATGTATGCATATACACAGAGTACGGTCCTTTCACCTATTTCTGCCTCTAAAAATATCCTCACAATCCCATTAAGACAGGTAAATATCAGGAAAACAAGTGGACTCAGCATACTTCTCAGACTACCTTATGCCCTTTTTCTATTCTAACTTAATTAATCCTAGCTGTCAGAAAAAAAAAATTTTTTTACAATTTCCAACTGCTCTACCCCCATTCTGCACTGAAAATTTAAGTAGGTAACAGACATTTCCCAAAATAACGTAAGGAAAAGGAACAAGCCTCAGCTGGCATTTCCTCTTACAACCAGCACGTGCTTCCTCTTTGCAGCTGCTGCCTTCAGTAGGTGGGCTGATCAGCACAAGCAATCCATACAATAGCCTCCTCCCTTAAGCTATGAAGACAACAACAACTCTGGGTCCTTCCCCTGCTTCCAAAAATTCAAACACTCAGCAACTTTGGCACTAACACGTCAAAACATCTCCTCTCTCTTGTCATCCTACCTTTACGCATCAGGACACGTGCCCCAAGGGACCGCTGCACCTTGAAGCACTGTTAAAGGTTTACCCAGAACTCACTGAGATCACCACGGAAGTTTGAGTACAATATTCTGCCACCACACTGTTTGTAGAGTGGATGCAGCTGTATTGACAAAACTGCTTTCCATGTCTGAGATGGCATAACAATTCCATCACTAACAAAACACATCCACACCGGGTAAACACGCCTCTGCCAGCAGTCTTAGCTCAGTCAGGAACCCTGCTCGTGAGGGTGTGGCTATATAATTTCAGGCGTATGAAAAAGTACTGTCCAAACTGCAGAGCTAACCTCAACACGATCACAAACAGACTTCATGCCAGAACAGTGAACAATACCTGTTGAGATCCTGTCCTTGCAGATGGAGAGGATGCTGCTGATAATGTCCAAAGACTTCAAACACAATAGGCTTTGTTTTGATGTACTCCACAAATGATTCCGTCACTTCCACAGCAATCTGTTAGGCAAAATATGGAAAGAAAATGAGACATACACAAAGGAAATCTTGTAAGTCTGAATTTTAGGAGTCTGTGATTTTTCATACGGTTTAGCACCACTCACAGTTAAATAAACTGCATTCCTCTTTGGGTTAGGCATTAATTCTGCACTCCAATAAAGGAGAAAAATATAATCTCAGTATCAGGCATTTTAAGTAGGAGAAGAGGGGGCTATATGCAACCTAAGGATGTAACTGTGCATATATATCTGATATATGCAGCTCATGTGAGATCACAAGCACTGCTATTCACATATATTTTATTTCCTGCATTCTAGACTGCTTTCATTCAACATCCTGGAAAGGAAATAGGGAATTCAAAGGCAGGAAGCAGAGGTGAAACAGAAGAGTTAAATCTGCCACACAGAATCATTCTGTATTTTGTTCTCCATTGGGGATTACATCATTCACCTGATCACTCCTCCTACTGTCTACTCTTGCCCCCCTTTTCCATACGCCTCTCAGGAGTTTAATAAGAAGGATACACACAACTCCCACTGCCAGAACAGGCATTTACTCTTGATGTAACGTTTTACTTACATTCTGAACATGATAAAACCCAAGTGGAGTTCCTCGACCATTGTTTTTGAGAGGTTCTGTTGAGAAAGCTTCATCATGCCGATGTAAAAAGCTTTAAAAAAACCAAACAAACAACAAACCAGATATAAACCACCACAGAGCAGTTTAGTGAAGACCGCTGTGCTGTGAACACAGCGCTGAAAGGGAACACATCCATTTATTCTGCTAGACCTTTAAAGGGAGTGGAGTGATGGCCTTAAGCTAAATACACCAGTCTTCGGGACCCCAATCCCTGTACTTGTTTTGTGTCTTTATTACTCCCATTTTACTTTCTCTTTCTTAAGAAACTAAGCCAAAGAACACTTTCACTTGCGAGCTACTGAGTTACTCAAGGGTCATATAGCTTTCATTCCAACTGAGCGTACGTACAATCTAATACTGAATTTTTAACATTAAAAGCCATTATCAAGGAAAAACTTAAGATATCTGTAAGTAGATCCTTCCTGCAAAACTTCACTCCTTAACCCCATGCTAAGACAAAGCAGGTACTGCTTGTAACAGGAATTCCAGGAACTGCCAAAGTGTTTTTCTCTGCTATACCACACTGCCACTGATTTGAAAAGCTCTCAGACCCTCCACTGCCCACTATTACTTGCACTATCAAACCATTCATTGCCTAATGTAAATACGGACAAATTCTTACTTGAACTGGCAGAAAATATCTGCATATTCAGGAAGGATGCCGCTGGCCTGAAGCACTGTCACACGGAAGGTAAACACGCTACCCAGCTTCAGGTGATCACCAATCTCCTCAGTGAATCCCTCCATCGTCATCTTTCCATCCAAAGTGGCTGACTTCAAGTCTTAGGGAGACACAAACATCCCACATGAAATAAATTCTTTTTTGTCCTCCTTTCTTCTCTTAAAATATTCCTTCAGGCAACAGTTTACAGTTTAGTCCCATCACATTTTTTTGTTTTGAGCCCAAATTAGTTGCCGACAATCAAAAGCTCCAAATACCTGAGAACAGTTTTTCTGCACAGTTCTCCAAATGTATAACTCCAGCATCTATCATATGCAACCCATCAGTTACACCTCTCCCTACCTATCATGTTCTTGAAGGACACTCAGAATCCCTTTCTATCACTGACTGAAAGCATCCCAGATTTCCCTAAAGTTCTCCAAAACTAATACATATTTCTTGCTTACCTAGCTCATTCATTCTGTTGATCTCCTCTGGAGGAGTGGTGACATCCGAATTCTGTCCTTGTCCTTCCACAATTCTTAATTCTTCCAATGACAGTCCAGACCGCGTCATCGCAACTGAAGAAAAATCACTCTGAAAAAGAGATTAAATGAAGTTGTTTGTAATAGACTCCTGCAGGTTTTGGCTTCCCATCCCCTTCTTCACCCATATTACTTATTCTTTATTTAGAATCACAAACAACTGCACTCAAAGAAACCTAACTCAATTTTAACCCTTCTTACCTTATCAAAATATTCATTGTCGAACGAAATTTTGGCTGTGCCAGACTGTCGAATACCAGATCCATAATCTGGGGCTTCTTCATCAGCTAAAATACATAAGGGGAAAAAAATTAAAAAAAATTATGGGGAAGAGAAGGGAAAAGCCTCAAAGTTATCTAAATGGAAATTGATTACAATGGAAACTAGTCTGTAAAGTAGAATAGGTCTGGTTCTAGCCATCCAATAATACATTAGAATAAGCGCTGGAAAAAAATGACAGCAGAGATCTATCCCTCATGAATTCAAGTGTGGGAAAATAACAAGACAAGCTATAAAGTTTCACCATGAATATACTTAACTTCAGAGAACTGTGAATGCAAAACAACTTTAGTACTTACTTTGATTATTTATTTACTTCTGATTATTACATCTGAGGTGAATTACCATACCATAATACAATGACCCACATGGGAATGTATACTTACATCGATTTAAACTGCCATCTAAAGTTCCATAGCCACAAACTCAAGCAGTCGCACTAGCAAAGCTCCACAAGTACATGCTGCAAGTTTGAGAGGCGGTTCTGTCAATACAATCTGTCCATTTAACCTCCTCTTTGTGGAGACTAACAACAACGAGGCCTGGTTAAAGGCCAGATATTTTTTCCACAGTAAATGCATACTTGCAGGAGAAATCCCAAGATTCAGAATGTATTCTGAAACTTCCTTTAGGGACCAAACACCATAGCCTTTTTTCAACAGATGTGCCCAATTCAATTTCTATTAGTCGTGGTGTACTCTATTTATTTGGATGGATAAATGGAATCTTTTTTCTTTTTTTAAATACTGGTCAATGCGAAGGAAACCAAACCAAGCTAGAAATGAGACTTTTATACACATTAAAATAGATTTTATTTCACTTGCTGTTTTAGTTCCTGCCAGAGTGATTCTCACACATCTTCAGAGTCTGAGGTTTCATTATATGTTCCCATGGAGAGTGAAACTTCCTGGGTTACCTCCCTAAAGAAACGCTGGCAGCTAGTCACTGTTATTCATAGCGTACCGAAGAGTTGCAATGTAAAACTCCCAGAGTATCTCACCTGCTATAGCTTGCACTGCTACTCGCAGAAATCCTCGTACTTCTCCTTTCTCACTAACAACAGCTACTCGGTGAATAAGAGGCACCGGGTACAGTAGATTGCTCAGGTACACAAATGCTCTGGAAGGAAAGAAAACACACACGGCATTAGGCAATGATCTGCCAAACCAGCCTGCAGTATTTGGTTGGCTAATGGGACATTCAAATCTTCAGCCAGTTTACTTTATTACCCCTGCACTGCGGTCGTGTATCCATTGCCCGCACAGGGCAATTCAGCAGTGTCAAAGCTGAGGGAAGCCACAAAATGTTCTAAATCAGAGTATATTGCAGACACAGGGCTTATATTAGTGAGGAACAAAACATATGAAGGAGACAATTGAAGATGATGGCTTTATAAAAGGTAATTTTAGTTGCACTACAGTTGTAAATGGAGCTGTTAGCAAGATGGAAGAAGTCTAATAAGGAACTAATGATTGTAAAGAATTGTTTGAGTTTTCCACTCCATGAGCGTAGTTTGAAATTATAAATTAAAGGGGAATTGATCTACTGTGTTCACATAGTTTCAAATACTTAACTGAACATTCAAAAACACACTTGAAAACAGACTGACTGTTTTCTCTCTTCTCCATACATTTGGTAACACTCTATACAGAGTAATCAGAAATCCCCAATAAACCTTAAGTCATCTCTTAGGTTTTTTGGAAGATTCACTGAGTGTATGAATAGGGGAAGACTGATAGTCTTCACAGCTAAATACCTTTAGGAGTAATACATTTGTCTCTTTAAAAATACCAAACAACCAAAAAGCAAACAGCAAAACACCAAAACAGTACTCTAGAGCAATCATTTAGAAATTACACTTTACAACAGGAAAGGCAGCACTTGGGCCCAGTACGGGATGATCCTGCCTTACAGTAACTTTTAAACTTAGATATAGGCAGGGTCTACTTTGGAACAATAAAGTTCACAAGCTGTTGTATAGATTTCTATTTAAAAGTGAGACTAGCATTGTGAAGTTATTTTACATTTCTGCAATGAATTACAAAAGTTCTTAGAACATCACACTTCCGTGTGATTAGCTTGAGCAAAACTTTCACTGTCAAGAAGCCTACCAAGCCAGGTAAGGAACAGCTCTCAACAAGGGGAAAGAAAATCGAAGGCTTTATTTATTAAGTGAGCTGTTTCGGAATTCAGAAAAGTACTGAGATGCACAGAAGTTTAACCAATAGTTTTACCAGTCATTAGATTTAAAGTGACTAACCAATTAAATATGTAATTATTATGAGTTTATGCATATTAAATTATACTAAACACCAGTCATTTGTTTATTTCCTTCTTGCAGTCCTTTTTATTAGTCTTTATTATTAAGTATAATTAATTCCTCAAATTTATAATTGTTAGTGTTTAATATTCATAGGGGAAAGTCCTGCATGACAAAAGAGGACAGAGAGAAATAAAGATGTTCACTGCCTCTGTCTGGAGACGTCAGCTGTAAAATTTGTTCCGTGAACACAGCAAGACTGATCCAAACTCAATTCCTTGGGACACATAGCTAAGGACCCAAGTTAGAAAAGGCAGGGGTTTCTCCTTGGGTTGACATGCCCGTTCCCAGAATGAATGATCTTGAAATGGCAAGGTAGTCAAAGAGGTGTCAGTTGTGAACCAAAGAGACAAAAATAATGCTACTGAAAAACAAGGTGGTGACAAAATGCAATAGAGAATGATTAATAAGGCTACAAAAGTAGAAAAACAAAAAAATGAAGAAAACCATACAACAAAAAAACAACTACAACGTAACACTTGACTAAGATTAGGATCTAATTCTTTTTCAGTCTGCTCCAAAGTGAGGTATGCACTGACAAAGCAGGGGAAGGGGGAAGAGACTAAATTTAAAGTAACAAAATAAGAAGTTCAATTTTCCTTTTTTTGCTCTGAGACAACATTTTAATTTTTAGCTCTGAAATTTCAGGCGGTGCTTGTTTAAGAAAGCAGCATTTCACCATACAAGAAAAGTCCCCCCCCACCAACAAACTGAAATAAATCACTCGGACTGGACCAGGGATGGAGTTCAGGAAGGTACGTAGTTATATGCTCAACACAAAAAAAACACAAGCAGTTTGAAAACCAGATTTCCAGCTAGTGAGAATGGACTTTTTTCCCAAACAGAAAGGAATCTAAATAGTCTTGCACTGATATGCACACAGTAAGAGTTTCACCAATTAATAGAGGCAGTCACTCCAGAAGCCTTCCTACTTCAAAGCCAAACCAGTGGAAAGCGAAAGCATCAAGTGCATGAAGAATGAAAACGTTTTTATTTGCATGGCTAAAGTTCTGAGGCTGCTGTCCAACATATGTCAAAGCTTTCAGCTTTATTAACATCTACAACTCTGTCACCTCAGTAAAATGGCAATTCCAAAGAAAAAAATATTTCTCATCGTCCTTAACTTCCTTCCATCCAGTCACCTGGTTCACTGGAATGATTTTCACTTATGAGAAAGAAAAGCAAATAATGCAAAAAGTTTTAAGCTTCCTGTTTGGTGATGAAAATGCTGGATCTCTTCTGTAGAGTGGAGAGCGATAGCACATTTGCTGTCCAGAGAAAAGACCTGGTTTATGCAGCAATACTGCCTGCCAGGGCCATTCCATCTGCTTCATCACAAGACAGCACCAAGTCAGGAGTGGATGAAATCTTAATGTTAGCATCCTCCTCTTCCCACGTCTGGGAGGACTCCCACTCCCCAAACATCCCATTTGCAAGTGTCCCCCTGCACCTTAGCCCAGCAGACTGAAAGAGGGGGTATTAGCAGAAAGATTGGTGAGGTAAAATGGCATACTCGCAACAAAACTAGAAATTAAATTTAACAAACACATTTTTTTAAAAAGAATCCAAACAAAACCAACAGAACTCAGAATGATGACAGATGGTTTTTAAATAAAGACACCAACTCAAGATTTAAATAAAGTATCCCATAGTCCTCTCACACCTCCCTCAAAAACATAGCAAATGCTTGATATGTCACACCATTAAAGAACCAGCCTTAAAGACAGTCCAGCATGCCAGAAGAGATGGCTAAAGGGACCAGCTCTTTTTTTTTTTTCCTTTTCTTTAGTAGTTATTATACAAATAAAAGACAGTCACTGCACAGAGAGGAAAAAACAAAATATCGTGATGCCCAAGGAGCTGGATAACTACATGATCAATTTCTCCTCATCATCCTTTCCTTTGTGACCTGGGCTCATTATTGCTGATGACCCCCCAAAAATATTAACACATTCCACAACTTATAACACGGTACACAGCTAGAAATGTTAAAGAATTTTGGTTTTGTTATAAATTGAACACTACTCTGTGCTCAAGACAGTATCTATGTAGATGACATACCCTCTGATTCTTTCAAGTCACACTGTTCAGAAGTAGAATTCTCATGCTGGAAGACACTGAGGAATCAAAATAGCTTCTACTCAGGGGTGCTGAATGGTCTAACAGCTTTCTGCTGACAGAATCAGCACAGCAGAGGAACAGAACAGGAATAGAAATAGAACAGAATAGAAACCAACAAGTGGGGAAAAGTCATTCAGCTGCCTACTCAGAGATAATACAATCTGAGTCTCATTCTCAGTACAATTTGCAACCCAAATAGAGTTCCTTAACATGTGCAGCTTACACGGTTCAGGCTAGTACCCTTAACAGCTTTGTATGTCTGTCTGTGGAAATGGGAAGCACGTTGTGTGATTGCCAGGAAGCACAACTGTTTTCATTACACACTGCATTTGCTCAGCGTGTGTTGTGCTTACTGAAGAGCTTGTGAAATGAATCTGAATAGCTCAACTTTTTCCCAAGCACTGAAGGTCCCACTCTGAAAGGACACGCACAACAGCAGAATATGGCGAGTATGCCAGCGCTGTTACAAGGAAGCGGCCCCAGCCACTGCAAACAGCACACGTATGCTTTAACTAGCTGCCAGCCACTTCCGAGCCAGTTAAGATGGCTTTACCAAACCGACTCTTGGGGACCAGATTGACCTGAAAGAATTAAATTTTATAAAACATATTATCGGACATTGCACACAAGGGCACAAATTCACAGAGATCAAAGAGGACTAATGCAATTTCTTGCATTTTTTTTGTTTCAAAGACTGGGTCAAGGAAGTTCCAAGTTCTAATCACAGCTTCTAAACAGGTCCGCTGAAGACAAAGAATGAAGTTAGACAACACAGCTAAACTGATCTAAAAGCTTGATAAAAGACTGACAGACTCAGTCCCCATTTTTACAAATAATTCCGTCAAGTTTCCTACATTTGAGGAAACCGCAAAAAGATCCTGCCTTCCTGACCAGGAAGTCTTCCCTGCTTACAGCCACAGAAAAGGATAAGGCCAAGCTCTGGTTCCTTCTCCTTTGCTCCTCCCTTCCACCAGCCATGGAGTCTTACCCCCTCTTTTGTACAACGCCTGTGGTAACCACCTCCCTGACGGTTTTACCAGGCAGGACTGGCTTACAGAGCGAACACATAAGCAAGAAAGCATCACTGAGGGAGCAGAACAGAAGGGAGCAAAGTCACTAAATAAACCTTTTCTGTTTCTTGTAACGAATAACATGTTTGAGCAAGACAATCTGGGAAGCAACACCACAAAGTACTACTTTTAAAAATGCAACTTGCTGTCCTTTGGGTCTACACAACAGACTGAGGTCAGATAATGCCTCTAGACTGGCAAAATAGATAATACTCTAAAGCAAACTTGTTTCAGAAATTCAAGCATAGCGCATGGGGAAAGAGCCGATAAACACCACCAGCCAGTGAATTTTAACGACGATGACCTTTCACTATGTAATACTTGCTACTGAGAGTCACGCATAATCTGAGAAGCCAAATCATCTCAAAGAATACTCTTTTTCTCATCCAGAAATGGCCATTCTTCTTTCTCCTCCTGACATCTTTTCTCTTCAGACACAAGATGTTAGACGAGTTTTCAAAAAAATGATTTATTGGATTGGACTTAAAGACTTTCCACCATACTCAGAGATTCTCTTCTACGGTAGAAAATTACATACTACAATATTATCTTAGTGATCTTGCAATGGCTAAACAGAGCATTCTTATAAATAACCTTCAATACTGTACCCCATTCATTCTATGTTGTGACTGTTATCTAGAAATATATTTACTCACATTGTCACATATAAGGTTTATTTTCTCAATTATTATTTAGGTACTCACGTCCTCTGTCATGAGAATTTAAAACTTACTGTTACACTACGCTCACTCCCTGGCAATTCCAATTTATGTATATAGATATTTTGGCTGGCTTGAGACGATATTCTATGCAGAACAAAGCAAAGCCATTGCAGCCTACAGCAAGAGCTGGTCCCTTTTGGCCATTCTCACAGTAACCTCACCAACCTTCCCACTAAAATGAACCAAGGGGATCGGTCGTAAAACGGGTCGCGCCCATCATTGAAGAGGTCTGATCCCTCCTCAGTTCCAGCGTCGGAGCCAGTATCATCCACAAAGGCCTCATCATCAAAGTCCTCCATCTCATCCTGCTGTTCATCAGCCAGTTCAGTGATGTCGGAGTCAGCCGTGGAGAAAGTGGGGGAGGGCGTGCGATCAGCAAGACGCTCATTCACGCAGCCATGGAATATGGGGGAGCTAGATATCAGTTAATGGAATACCAATTAACAGAGAGAGGGGAAAGAAGAATGCTTCATTTAACAGCTGTCTGTTGTCACCAGCACAGAGACCACCTGAACAACAAGCAAAGGGATTGCTAACAAAGTCAGGAAAAAGAGCAACCTTGAACTGAGCAGAAAGCAAATGAAAAATGAATCTAGACGTGGTCAAACATACAGATACTGAGAGAACATACATTTAACAGAGCTACAGTTCTTATTTCCAACATGTATTCTAAATAAAAAAATTGTAAAGGTGCAGCCAACATCAGGACACATTAAAGAATCCCATCAGGTACTTTTCCAACATGTATTCTAAATAAAAAAATTTGTAAAGGTGCAGCCAACATCAGGACATATTAAAGAATCCCATCAGGTAACAGGTATTTCCAAAGGGTACGACCAAACTATCTGAATCACACAGGTAAGCAACTTGGGCCACTTTATCCCTCAGTTTCCAGTGTTCTTCATATTGTCACAGCTCTGTTCCAGTGACTTCAGATAGAATGTAGCTGGCTACCCTTTTTTAAAAATAAACTCATAACTTACTAAGGGTTCAGTCAAATCAGATTCTACAAGGTTACAGCAGAACTGGCAACATTCTAAAGAGCATTTTCTGCTCTTCAGGATATTTTAAGTCTATCAGAAAACCCTGAAAGACAACACACACACAACACTAGTGGCCATACAGTTTACAACCACATTCAAAGTCAAAGTTCATCCAGAAGTGACAAGCTGCCAGTGTACCAGCAGTGTTCAGTCAAATCAGATTCTACAAGGTTACAGCAGAACTGGCAACATTCTAAAGAGCATTTTCTGCTCTTCAGGATATTTTAAGTCTATCAGAAAACCCTGAAAGACAACACACACACAACACTAGTGGCCATACAGTTTACAACCACATTCAAAGTCAAAGTTCATCCAGAAGTGACAAGTTACCAGTGTACCAGCAGCTGAGACTATCGTAACATACCTTCCAACAAGCTTGAACCAATGGAAGCGATCATAAAAGGGGTCACTGCCTGTCATGGTGCTTTCACTCTCATCCTGTGTACTGGACGCCATTTCCCCAGCTCTGTCATACATCTCGCGCATCAGGTCCAACCTCTGCCTGCACAGAAGAAAGCAGGATTAAAAAAGGAATAGAGAATAAACAGAAAAAGCAGGGAATGAAAAGTGGGGCACACTGAATTCACCCATACCAAACTAACAGAAAAAGCAGGGAATGAAAAGTGGGGTACACTGAATTCACCCATACCAAACTACACATAGCAAAAGGAGAAAAAAGAGCACAGGAGTCCGTACCACTAAATTCGGTACTGTACTAATTCTGTGATGTATTAGGGATTCTGGAAAAATTTTGTTGGCTAAACCCACAAAGTACAAGGCAAGGTCACTGCAGAAGCTTACATAAATCTCAGATTTCATTCAAAACTTCTAAATAGTCTTCTTTCACATCTAATTCTGGAATATTTTTTGCTTCCTTTTTTTTGGATCAGACAATGTTGCTGAGTAATTCAGGCAGTTTTTTGCATTCCACTCCAGAAACGTTGGCATTTTGATTCAAAAGTGAACTGATTCCATTACAGACATTTATTTATTTTATTGAAGAAAACACGTTTCATAGTGCAAGATCCCCGAAGTTATCAGTGGGAAAAAGGTTCTTCAGCCAGTATTTACAGAACAGGGAAAAGACAGGACAAATGTATTTTGCCTCTTTGCAAGGATATGATGAAAATAATTCAGATTACAGTCAGAATTTGTGTAGCTTCCATAAAAATAGAATCTTCCCTATTTAAGCTTTTTATTATAAATTATGCCCTATACTACTAGGTTACATAAAAGCAGGTGTCACGGAAACTTTTGTATTGAAAGGAACATGAAATAAATTAATGCAGAGAAATGAGCTGTGATAAGCCTTATTAGATTTAAAACATAAAATCTAACCTTAAGTTACAAAAGTTAAATGTGGAGGTGAGGTAAGATGCTGGAGAACAAACACACTTGTTTAAAGAATCTAGAAAGCTAGTATTTAAAACAACACAGTCTGGATAGTTGCTGTTTGAAAGGACACAAAAAAAAAGGGGGACAACAGAGAATGAACAGCAAGGGGTGAGATTTTTCAGTGAAGCTCCTTGGATATAACAAAGTTTCTTCTCCAGTAACATTTACGTACTTGAGTTTTTCTAAGGACCAGTAATGCGTTGCTCCATTCTTCAGATCCTGGACTTCCACAGCTACCACTGTACGGGGGAAAGGCCTTTTGTCCCGCGTCTTCTCCAGCTCAGTGGGCAAAAGCTCTGGTGGCAGCGGGGAGTAGAGGGTGTCTGTCAGCAGGACAAATTGAAACTGCACCTGAATGGAAAAAGAAAAATTAGTTCTGAGAAGTCAGATATCAGCATCACAAAGGAGACAGAGACCTAACCTAAGGCAATGTATGAAGCCAGCTTGACTTTCGTCTCTGTTAAGAGATTCAGGAGTTTTTTACGTCACTTTGGGTTTTTTTTGACATGTCAAAATGGCATTAAACATTTTTCAGCTGAGTACATATATCTTGCCTTTATCGTCACAGCCAGCAGAGGTCTGGAAAACTACAGACCTAGCACATCTGGCAGTACCCACCTCTCTTGGAAAGATGAACAACCACAAAGTTAAAAGCAAAAAGGAGAAGACCTGGCCCTGGGGAGATGTGTATGTACATCTGTTTATGATATTGACAGGAATGGCATAAGGGAAATGAGGAAGAAAATATATCAACCAGATTTGCACAGGATGTTCATTCAGCCAGAAGTCTGAATCTGAGACTCACAGTTTTCTAGAGCCTTTTAAAGCTCAAACTAACAAGCAAAAAACATAACTTCAAAGACTACAAGTAACCCTGAGCATTTGAAGCAGAATTATACAGTCAAAATTGATGAGCCAGAATATTCAAAAAGATACTTGGCATGTCCCTACCTTTTTCTTTAACTCTACACTGATTGCATTGGCTTCTTTCAGATACACTGCATTTCCCCAGAGTTGGTCCCTCAGTGAAGTAAACTGGTGACATTTCCACTTCCTGAAAGCCCACTGTGCAAGTTCATACTCATGTCGTGTCCAGGGCACTAGGAAGAGCAAAGAAACAGAGCAATAAAACACTGTGCCTTCTTCTCTAAACCATCACATTCAGTATCCAATACTACTGCTAACTGTGTCATCAAGTTCTCAACACCTTCTCTGGAAGAGAAGACGAGAAACAAAAACCTGCATTTTTATTATTCAGTGAGGAAAAACTGGATTCAAACTTCCTCACCACTAGTACTGGAGATATAATGATCAAGTAAGGAGATCCGGAACAGAGAAAACAAAATAAATTCTACTCCTATAATTTTACGTTAGTTAACAATTATTAAAGCCAAATGCTGAAAAAGTGGAATGAAAGCAAGTAGTATGGGAATAATAAAGTCTATTTACTGTCCAGAAATGGAGTTATACAGACATGTCACAGCATGAGTTCTAAGAATTCCTATGAAGGTAAGAAAAAGAAACTTCAAAATAATAAGGAAACAAAGGCAACAGTTATTTTTTTGGTTTAAGAAATCTGAACTCTGTTAGTGCCAAGAGACAGATTCTGTCAAATTCAAGGCCACCAAATCAGACCTTGTAGTTAAACTAGTTTGTACACCAATTGAATTTGGGGATGTATATCTACTGTTTATGTGGAACTTATTCTACGAATAGGTATTTTATAACTCTGTGCTGTGAAGATTACAGATCCGCAGCCTTCCAAAGCAAGTCTTCTATATAGATAGAAAGAGATATTATAGCAACTGTCCCTTTAGGCTTGGTTATATCCAAATTATTTTTAGCTTCAAACTCACCTTCTTCCTCTTCTTCTTCCTCCTCTGTTGTTTCAGCTGCCAAGGACCGTGTCTCTACCTGCTTCTGTAAGGCCTGCAGCTTACTCTCATAGTCCTGTGGGCAGAGAGGAGACACCGTGTAGGAGGACAGACAAAAGCAAGGAGAACAGGTAAGAGAGACTTAACACCTCAGAAGGAATGACAGACGCAGAGAACAAATACATAAAGACATTTCCATTAATCCTCAGAGGTCACGTACCAACATCGATTGTTTTAGTACAATCTGTCCTTGAAGAGAGAAGACAGAGGCCAATACAACTAAGATAGTAGTGTTGTTTTTTAAAATCATCCATATACAAGCTCATAGTATCTGTAAGAGGGAAGGTTTAGGATTTTTTTTTTTTTTTTTTTTGCTAAAGACCAGAAAAAGGGGATTTTTTTGGGAACCTTCTTGCTGCTTTCAGGGAGGTAGGAAAGACGCAGAAAGAGAGGAAAGTACAGAAATAAATTTAAAAGGGGAGGATTATTCACCTTCATTTTCTCAAACACAAGGATTAACAGCACCACTGATTTGCCTTTTGATACAAAAAAAAATGATTTAAAAAAAAAACCAACATTTTGTTTTCAATTAGATTCTCCTCTTGGGATGACAGTATCACTCCCTCACATGTGTATTTAATATATCAGAAGATGAAAAAAATACCACTGCCCTGGTAAGCAGGCAGAGAAGTCTGTGCAGAAGTTTCCCCACAAGGAGTGCTTCAGCAATACCTTCTGGTGTAAGAGCATTTTCTTCCTGTTCAGCATAGTCATGCCTTGAATAAATGCTACTAAGACCTAATGACCTTTTTCTTATTTGCTGGTAAAACAAATACAAGTTCAAGATATTTAGAACAGACACAGTCGCTGCGCTCCTGGTCTCAGAGCCTACATCACCACTACATTTTATTTTTTGAAGACAATCCTTTGGCATTTATTACACAAATTAAACTGGATTCTGATTATTTTTATACAAGAGTTGTAACAACAATTCACTACGAGAGTTACAGAGGTCTTGAGGAGAATTCGTGAAGCCACTTATCTTGTATTCCAACCTTCTCTCTTCCACAGTCCCAAATCCTAAAATTCTTCTCCAAAGCACCATTGGCAGTAATGTGTTCTACTCTAACAGCTGTAGAAGGAAAGCTTTACACTTTCCTCCCATCCTGTTTAAGCATCTCACCTAAACAGCTACATTACTTTGTTTTCATACAGCAAGTACAGCACTTAACACTGCCACAATGCGATTATGTCAAATTTAATGCCAGGTCAGTCAGAAAGTCCTTTAGACAGTATTTGGCAAGGAGATAAACCTGAAGTAGGTTCCTTTTAGTTTATAAGTAAGGTTTCCTGGAGGTAGCATTAAGGTGTAGCTGTGCTCTTAGAACAACCACCTTAAAGTGCAGAATTTTCAACATCATGAATTCAACACCCACGACCTCCAGGGAGAAAAAACTGAACCATTAAAGATACATGGTCTTTATATGAGGGCTACATTTTAATGGAAATTTTATTTGGATAAAATGTTCCTTCTTCTTCATTTGTGTTTGCTCCGTTCACTCATAGGTACATACTTACACTGTAAGTAAACCTCAGCCCAGCAGCAAGAGAACTACAGACAAAACAAACATACATCCTTTCTTTCAATAGTCCTCCTGAAACTCTCAATGAGTCACCAAAAAACTATTCTAGACTCGATGAGGTTTCAGACTTATCTATAGTTCTGAAACACCCAGTGCACTCTTAAAAATTCATTAACATTCATTAACACTCTCTCTGCTCTTTTTTCCCCCCATCCAGGTAGATAACGCTATTACATTTGAAACCAGGATAAAACAGGTCAGATGTGAAGTGACAGAAACAAGCTTCTCTTACTTGCAAGGAAGGGCAAAATAATCTACTTTCCTGTAGTCTGAAGTAGATAATCTGAGGGTGTCATTTTGAGCAATTTTGATTGTAGAAATGAGGAAACAAAAAGCTCTTCACATAGTGTTTAAGTAGAATCTTTGATCAGATTCTTTTGGAGAAACTGAAAAGCTGCAGAGGGAATGGTCAAAAATCAAGAGCATTCCATTGTGAAAATTCTACTTCCAGCATGAAAAACCCAGGCACATTAAATTCACTCAAAGACAAAGACCCTCCTGTCTTCTCTATTTGCAGACTTGTGGGCCAAGTAAGTGTATCTTCTGCACATTTAAATACCTAAATAAAGAAATGCTTAACATAGGTAGACACTTTTTATTGACTCCACAACTAACTAACATTATTTTTAAAACTAAGTAAAAGAACTTAAGTTTATTTTCCCATAACAAAAAAAAATACATAGGTACCACTTCTGTAGGCAGAAAAGCAGGACTAAGATTGCGTCCTGGCACTTAATACTACAGTAGTATTTAAAAATAATTGGCCCTGAGCAACAGATGAAGGATGAATTTCAGGTTGGTTCACTGAGTGCACTGTAAAAGGAGTTGGTTTGCTCTACGGAGAGCTCGGTCAGCTCTCCAGATAAACATTTTCAGATCTGAGCAGTGATAACACCCACATCATTGTCACTAACAATGTAAAAGTGCCTCAACTGCTAGAAAAAAAAAAATTCCATTTAGAAGCTGCCCTGAAGCTCCACGCTCTAGACTCCCTGGAACCCAGTGCACACTGCTGTACAGCTTCTGTAACTGGTTGACATCATCAGTTCCACAAATGTGGAGAAAGGGAATGCAAAGTTTATTTTGCCCAGGGACATGGAAATACCTAAAGCCACAACAATCAGATTTTCTGAAAATAGAAGAAGAAAAAAATCATACACTCAAGACTAAGCCAAGCTTTCAAACACCAGACTGAACCAGCTTTTTAAGCAGAACACTGTCCCATAGGAACTTAGATTCTTCTGATCTACACGGTCTGCAAAGGTACTGTAGTGTATGTGATTCCCTCCTGCATTTGAGGCATATAAAAAAGTCAGCTTCTTTTGTCTTCAGTGAGCAAATAAAAAGAGAACAGCCAGCTCTGTATTTACTTCCCGAATTTAGGTAAGTAGCCCACAAGATGGTACAATGGGACACCACTGAAGAGGAGTATGGCTTACATCCCCGTGTGCTATGAAAAGGTTTTGGTTTTGTTTAACGAAGCTATGTGACAGGAGACACAAATCAGCGTAGGCTGCTTTTCACATAACTTCACAGCAGAAAAATCTAGGTCGACAGACTTATGAGGAACAATTAAAGGAACCTGTTTAACTTTGCTAGAACAATACCAACCCCAACACAAAAAACAAAATCAGGACAAGCCTACCATCAAGTTTCATTTCCATTTCACTGAGACCAGTCTGACACTTACAAGAGTATTTCATAGTTTATTGGAAGAGCACTTGTTACAATACAAACCAGTTCTGCTTTTCACAAGGCAGATGCTTGCTCTTAAGACAATCCAAAACTCATTTTTTTCTTAAACAATGGACAGATCTGAAAATCCCGTTTAATTCAAAGGCAGCTCACTGCTTTCTTTACAGTACAAATGTGTACACAGCATAGATTTCTCATGTGGCAGCTCCTGAAGTGATTCAATGGGAAGTAACCAGGTCAAATTTCAACAGAAAGAACAAATTTCAACATAGAAAGGATAAAGGACAAACAGTGAGGGAGATATTGAAACTATGCTGAATGTACTGACAAAAATAGCATCCTCTAATTTGACAGATCCCTAAATTCAGATTGCTTGAGAAAGGATGTGGAAGTCAATCAGAGGAGCATTAGTGGCATGCATTTCCCCCCACCCTGCCCCACCAAATGCACGTGTCCCTAGTGAGTCCCAGAGGATATTTCAGAAATCATCACTAAGGCACAGGTGGATACGAGCCAGCTGTCAAAGCACACAGCACATCAGCACTCAGCAATGCCAATTAAGCTTACTAAAAACAGCACTGCCATCACGGATGCCACATTTCCATTAACCTGAAAGCCTTTTCACAGAGTCTTCTCTGGAAGCAGCCATATTACTGTTCATCAGCTCCACTAACACAGAATTTGGAGTGAGAAGCGTGTGTACTTTTGAACAGTGCAAGGAGATCCACGAGTTCTCCCACTGCTTCCCTTACCAGATGAGGCACTGCCCTGTAATTCATATTAAATTCTTAAGCCAAGCAATTATTTGTATAGGATTTTTTTTCCAAGTTTCATTTCTGCAATATCCTCCTAAACACCAGGAAAAAAGCTGCTTCCTCTGAGCAGCCTGGACTCTCTTTGGACACTGCCCATCCTTTTTCATTTCTGTCAAATCATACAACAGAATAAGCAGGGTTGTTTTCCTGGTGTTGCACAACAGTGGGGTAAGAAAGACTGATGGCAACCCCGTGTTCATCACCATCGCCACCACCCAGGCATATACAGCATTTCTTCCCAGATTTTTAAGCCAAAATAAGTTGGCAAAAACTTTTTAGTGTCTATCATTAAAATATCAAGTAGCAGGAGGTTTCAGTCTCATGTCAGTACACGTAGTTGCATGGACTTCAGAATTACTCCATGCTCAATCACGTGGTGATTTCACATAGGCAGCCACAATCCTCAGCAAAAATGGGACACAAGAGAAAGTTGGCTTGATCTTCTCTCGCGACCTATCCCATGCAGACTGACTCTGTTTGGCTCACATTTTCCTACAGAATTTAGAGGATTTTCCAGAGCACACATTTTTCAGAGAGTCCAAGCCTTTTCGAGGATATGGAAGAACTCGCTACTCTTGACATGCAAAAAAACCAAAGTGCAATGCACTACTAAAGCAGGATTCTAAACCAAAGGCAATAATAAAATATTATTTGCAGCCCAAAACTCATTTTGCAATTCTGACTCAAGCTCAAAGAAAGTATTGCTAATCTACAAGGCTTCTTTTCTTTAAGAATCAAGACATTTTTGGACATGATGCGTTATTTCCTTCATTCAAGTAGGCCAAAGCATGAGACAAATGCAAGTTACAAAGCCATACGTGGACACAAAATTAAACCTGCCGTGAAAAAAAAAAAATTGTCCCATATGATGGGAGCAGGTGAGTCTTTCGGGACAGTTGGAGGACTGACTTTGTATCTCCTAC